AATGTTTTTTCAGTGAACCACACCTTTAAGGGAATGTTTATGTAAAACAGTAAAGAACATGTTTTTATTCTGAATGCAGGTTTGGTCAGAAACAAACCGAGCAGCATTTTACCTCTTCCTTGCTGTGAAGATTCACTTCCTGTGCGGGATCGTTCACCATAAGTTTCCTCATTACGCCAGCTAGGGTCCCTGAAAACAACAACCGTTTACTTCTCAAAACATTGGATATTGTTTTAGCTTCAAAGCAGAACTAAAGTTGGTACAACACTTTTATTAAATCAAAAAACTCGCTGGAAACCAGTACAAAACTGTCAATTATTTCACTGCACTTTTACTTGTAACGAAATAACTTGCTGTCGAGTGACAGATTGCTACATACTTGATGACAACCTGACATGTTTAATCACAAACTCCAGCAAAAATCCTAAGCAGATGTTTTAGAGACACATGTTTTGGCATAAAAAGCAGAAAAACAGTCATCTCTGACCTGTCCCTCATCTTTCTTTCAGGTCCTCTGGTTTTGTCCTCTTCTAGCTGCCTCTGCAGCCTTTCTTCTTCTTTCTTCAGCCTTTCCTCCACCTCTCTTTCCTTGGCCGCTGTGTCAACTGGTTTTGCTCCCCCAAATATGGAGGAGGCCCTGCTGCCGGAGCTGGGGGCGACGGCTGGAGATGTGCTCCCGCTGCTGCCGGTACCTTCTTCCTCCTTCGGTACGCTGCGGGGCTTCAAGTTCAGCTTGGGTCTTTGCTGAGGAGCTTGAGGGAAAATGTGGAGGTAACGAAACCAGATTAGAAGGACTGAACGCTGCAGAGACCCGGTCTGAAGAAACAATCATGTAGTCAGATTAAAAAAAACAAAACAAAAAAAAACTTACCTCTCTCCTCCCGTCGCTCATACCGGTCCTCCCGGTCCCCATAATGATCCCGCTCACCGTAACGATCGCTGCTCCCCCGACCATCCTCGTAATCTCGGCGGAAGCCGCTACCAAAGGCACGACGACTTCCTCCACCACGAGAGTCGTAGCCTGAAATGAAAAATTAGGGCCGATAAGAAACAGGGAAACCTGAAACATCCTGCTGGAAAAAGAAAACCTGAGAAAAACAGGAAGTCAGGAGAAAACCAACACACGTCTAAACCAGCTCACCCCCTTGACTGAAGTCCCTGCGGTCCTTGTTGTCGTAGCGATCCCTACGGTCCCTGTCATCATAGCGCTCCCTGTCATCATAGCGATCCTTACGGTCCCTGTCGTCATAGCGATCCCGGTAGCGGTCTCTCCCACTGTCATAGCGATCATTATCTCGCCGCGGGCCATCTCTGTAACGATCGGACTCGTAGCGGTCCCGTGATTCTGCAAACAGCCGACAAGTATTCCATCAGATGAAAACTAGAGAGGATCTTAGATGAGTAAAACAGGATTTTCTCATCAGGTTCAAGCAGGAATATCTGAACGAAAACAAAGATCAAACAAAACCTCTGGACTTACTTTCTCCAAATGGATCATCTCTCCTTGGAGGTCCGTCATCAGCGTCTGCACTGGGTCGAGCCCTCCAGTCACTGTCCGTCTTGTCAGGACCCATGTCTGCCATGCGTCCACCCCTGTCCCTGCCTCCCATGGACCCACCGTCTCGTTCTATGATGGAAAGATGAAATGTGTTTTACTGTAACAGTGGCAGAGTTGTTAAGTGTGCACTCTGTAATCAGAAGGTTGCAGGTTCGAACACCGATCAGTCTGTTGCTGTCATTGTGTCCTTGGGCAAAACACTCAACTCGCGCTGCCTGCAGGTGGTGATCGGAGGGACTGGTGGCGCCAGTGCTCAGCAGCCGCGCCTCTGTCCCTGTGCCACAGGGCAGCTGTGGCTACAGTGTAGCTCATCTAGGGCTGGGGGTAAACGATTATTTTTAAAACGATTATTCTGACGATTATTTTATCGAATAATCGACTATTCTAATGACTATTTAGAAAATTAATCTAATGATTATTTTTCTATTGCACAATTAACAAAAACCAGAAAATCTCAAATAAATTCATCAAAAAAATTGATAAATTCTTACTGAGAGGATAAACACTACGGGCCTTCCATTTTGTATAACACTGCTTTTATTGTGTTGCGGTTGGTTATGTTGTGATGACGTGTAGATCTTGGGAGTGCAGGCTGCTGCCTGAGAGGTGGTTGGAGACGGAGTGTCTCCATGCTGCTTTGTTTTGGTCACTTATGTGCGTGAGGCGAGTGGTGTTACGACTCTTCCTGGGGAGTTTGGCTCGTGCGCAAAAAGGAAGGGACAATAACGGGATTTAAAAGTTAAAATGATGATCAGGTTTATTTACAACTACAAAAATCATAAATCTTTCCATCCACAGGTTGGGAATAATAAAACTAATTCCGCCTGTTGGGAATTAAAACAAAGTACAAATAAGTAGGGATCCAAACTCTAAACTGGGTGGTTAAACCAAACTCAAGGTGATATTTTAAACTAAACCGAAAACCCACAACACTCTAAATGT